TTGATAATATACAAGTTGAACTAATAGAAATATTAGTATCACATGTGGAAGAACAATATCAAGAATTTGTTAAACATATAACATGTGGAGGATCCTGAAATTGAAGATCCACCATCTGACCTAAACTTGGATCTACCTGTAGATACATAAGATCTAGTGCGGTACATTCATATTGAGAGATAACCTTGTTAACCCTCAAGTTACATTGATCCCACTAGTTACGATAGTGCACTAGAAGATATTGTTGATCAAGTGTTGCTCAAAGCTATGAACCATGAGGTGGAATACCTGTATTTTAACGTTGTTCGGACCCTAGTAAAGGCACCAAGAGGTGTAAGACCCACTAGGTGTGTGGATCTACAAGGCCTAGAGAGGATAGTCAGGAAGGTGAAAATATTCAAAACTAGTTTGGTGGCAAATGTTTGCCAAAAGTCACGCTTGAGTTTATCCAGATTATCTTTGTTGTTGTTACAAGTCTGAATTATGAGATTTTATTTTGGGAGATAGATGTCATAATAACATTTCTGAATGATAATTTAGAAAAGGATATCTACATACAATAACTAAAACAGGTTTATAGCCAATGGGTAAGAACACACGGTATACAAATTGTGAAAATCCATTTTAAGGACTTAAGAAAGCATCCAGGTCATGGAACATTAGTTTTGATCAGGTTATCAAAATTTTAATTTTGAAAAAACCTTGATGAATCGTGTGTGTTTGGGTGTAAAAGGATCCAAGGGGAGGCAGTAACTTTTTGGGTACTTTATGTAGATGATATGCTCCTTATTGAAATAACATTGAGGTATTGTCAGGTATAAAGAGTTGGCAGAGTAAGCATTTTGATATGAAAGACATAGGGAAGCTAATTATATTCTTGGTATAAAACTCTAATGAGACCAGAAGAATAAGTTGTTGGCATCTCCTTAGTCTATTTACATTGACAAAAATCTTGCCAAAGTTTAACATGGAGAATTCTAAGAGGGGAATCATATCTCTCAAATTTGGAATTCATCCTCCTAATGAGTAACCTCTAAAGACTCCTGAGAAGGAAGAATGCATGAGTAGAATACCTTCTAATTTGTCAATAGGTAGTCTCATGCATACCATGTTGGTAGTTAAACCAGACATCTGCTACACAGTGAGAGTAGTAAAACGGTATCATTATAGACCTAGAGGAACACTAGATTATTGTTAAGCATGTACTCAAGTATCTTCGGAGAATGAAAGATTATATGCTAGTATATTCTGGTGGGAGTCTTGAAAAGCTGAGCTTTCATAGATTCAATTTTTCAAGTGGATATTGACTCAAGAAAATCAACCTCGAGCTATGAAGTTTACATTAAACTAAGATAACATCAGAGGTGGATCTTAAAAACTCAGTTAGTAAGAGTTTGCCTGAACTTGTGTTCGATAGGCATGCCACTTCTTTGGGTCTTAGGAGGATCCTAGACTTGCATTAAGAGAGTGGAAGATATTGTGTTTATTGTGCTCTTGGAGTAAGACAATGAAACAATGTAATCATTTTTTGAATTTTACAAATGAGGTATTATTCATTGTGAAGTATGATCATTTGGATACGTTCTTGGAGGACATGATTATAAGTTTTCACGATTGATGAATTGGTTCACAACTGTTAAATAAAGTTGGACGCTTTATTTAGGCTGTAATAATTCATGAAATGGTTTTGTCCGTATCATTGTAAAATATTGGTGTGGATTAACATTTACATTGGAAGGATCAAGAAGAGATTTGATTAAGGTTGTTTTTCTATCATAATGTATCAAATCTCCAGTTAACCATAGTTATGTAATTGCTCTTAATCCTGAGTTTATTATAATTAGGTATTTGAATAGTTTTCATTTTTTGATTTACCAACGGGCGATGTTAGTTTTTTACGACCAATAACTTGGTATTTTGGGAGTTAGATTATTTGATTATCGATATTTATAATATAAACAACATATATAATTTGTAAGATATGTCCTCTTGATATGTTTCGGTACTTGTATATTGAAGACACTGGCCAATGCATGTAATCCATTAGAGAAACTATTATAGTTATGGAAATAAATAATTAATTGAGTAATAGAAAACTAATCAATCAATTCTTGACATTTTACAAAGGGGCAATGCATATTTATGTTTTATGTGTTATTATTCTTGGAGTTCAAGTTTGAACTTTTAATGGAGTAACATCGAATCAGATAATCATTCATTGATTGTTAGGAGCCTTGATTAATAACAGCTGGTAAATCCCCAGGCCAGCTCGAGATAAAGGATGAGACAATTTCAGTTGATGACGACTAGTGAGTTACAAGGTCTTGGGCTTTGCGCTCAAGTTTGTACTCAAGAGCAAGTGAGAAATTATTGGATTTTGCTCTTTCACTAAAGCCCAATTGGGCTTTGTGTGTAAAAAGAGACCAAAAATCCCAGAGCCCATTCAACTTATAGTTAGGGTTTCTTGGAACCCATATATATTATGCACTTGTAGTCATCAGCCTCCTGGTCTTCACTTGGTGGTTGCAGAGGCTGAGATAAGGTAATCTCCATGATAGTGAGAGATAGCCCACACACTAGCCATATTCTCCCTTGAGAGATAGTCTGGAAGATCTACCACTAGTCAACCTCAATGAGATTGTTCGTATAGAGAGGAGAGCAGTTTGTGAAAAGGAATTTGACACGTAGAGATACTGCACAAATCTGTGCGATAAGAGATAAACATATAATGATGATGATCCGTCACATCCCAAACCGCAATGGTGTAAACACTTCGACATATCTAATTGTGCCTACAGTGTTACAGACTTATAGGTAAGTCCAAATCCAATGTGCTAAGATATTTAAAAAAAAAAAAATCCAACCACAAGATAAATATAATGGTTTAGAGGTAAACATAAAGCTTTTGAGACTAATTCTCCGATTACAACATATTTTGACAAGCTCTACTTCCAAGATTAGCAAGGTAGATTCTTTGCTGTCTTGAGTCTTGATTACAAATCAAGCTAAACGACAGAAAACTAACATTCAAAATTTGTATGTTACTAGCCTATATACACCAACTGTTAGAATATTTTATATTTAAGAAAAATAAATAAACAATTATTAACATAAAAAATATTTTAAATTATAAAAAAATATAAACATTTCGTTTAAATAAAATTTAAAAATACAAATAAAAATAATTTAAAATGATAAAAAATGCCTAATTATTTTGAAAATTTTAAACAAAAACAATTTAAGATTGAAAAATAAAGCAATCCAAGTGTCTTTAACAGAGTGTACACTAAGTTAACACATAAAAATAAACATAAATTAAGTTAATAAATATTTAATATATCATTTCTTTTATAAATTATATAAATTTTGTGTTAAATAATTTTTTATTAAAGTAATGAAATATAAATTATGAGGAATGTTATACTTTCAACATTTTTTTATAATTATTTTTATTATTATTGGATCAAAATCAAATTAATAATTATAAAATAATATTGAATGAGAGCCATTAATTTAATTTAGACCCAACGATAAAAACTATAGTTAAAAAAAATTTTAAGAAAAAAAAGTATAGATATAAAGTAAATCATAAATTATAAATACTTAATTCAGACAACTTACATAATTACATTTTTCTAAGAATTTTTCGTACAAGGATACTGATATCTTTTTTCTAAAAGTGTCGCTAAGAAAAGCGGTTCTTTTGTGTGTTGTGAGTTGCGGGAGTTACATAGACCAACTCGGAATTTGACGGTGCTTCTGCATTGTGATGGACATAAGGTCAACACTTCTATTCAATTACTAGTCACAAATTTTAGGGATTGACCAAAATCTCATTAATCACCCGTAATGCATATACTAAAAGAAAAGTTTCCTTTATAAGTAGAGATCATACCCCAAAGTGGATTGCAGAATATCAACGTCATGTCTATTCATTCAACAAAATTAATAAGTATTCAACAACTCAATAATACTTGGTGATACTATATATAATTCGCGGATACACGTAATACGAGAGATATTAGAACTTTATACTTAATTAAATATTAGTTAAAGAGATAGGTTATATTTATAAATTTTTTTGTATAAAAATTCTTACGAATTACATTATGTACTATGCGTAGTATATACTATCTGCACCTATGATGCATAGATACTGACACGGGACACGACACGACACGATACACGTACACGTTAATTCTAAAAAAATGACATATTTTGACACGTTGGGACACGTGTCCGACACACACAATTCACAAAAAAGAACGAGTCCGTGTTTCAGAGATCTGCATTGCATAGTACATAATATATAATGTAGTTTGTTTATAAACAAAAAAATTTAAAATATAACACTACTTATTAAGATCAGAGTTATATTTACAAATTTTTTATTTTTAAACTGTTACAAACTATACTATGTACTACGAGTAATACATATTACTTGTAAATAATTAAAGTGATAATGCTATATAAAAATATTTTAAAATTTTAAAACAAAACAAATGAACAAATAAAATATTTTAAAAAATAATATTATTTTAAAAATAAAATATTTAATTTTATATATAAAAATTAGGGGTTAGTATTTATCCTTTTATAAGATATAGAATTATGTCATTTTAATTAAAACTATAATTATGCAATAAAATCATGATACGAGAAAACGAGGGATTTTTTATTTAAATATTAAATAAAAAATATTTATTTTAACTAAAAGAACACTTTAGAATAAATATATTTTTTAAAATAATTAAATATAAAAGAAGGAGAGAGAGAGTCAAGATTTTGTGATTTTTCAATTTGATTTCGCAAAGAGGTGGCATGACATGAGATGGATGGAAGAGCATATCATATGGCATTATTTCATTTCATTGCATTATACAGTATTTAAAGATTTGATTTGCGCACCCACATTATAAAGGATTCCTTTGTCTCTGTCTTTGTCTTTCCCTCTCTTTCTATCTCTCTCTCTTTTCCTTTGCCTCTGGTTTAAGGAAGTGATGGAGTCTGAAAGTGTCGTTTCTCCGCCGACGATGTCGGAGAACATAGACGTTCTTGATCTCTCGCCCGAGGAATCCGAAAATGTTCATGTTTTAGCCGTTGATGACAGCATCGTTGATCGCAAGGTCATTGAAAGTTTGCTCAAAGTCTTACCTTGTAAAGGTTCGTGATTTCAAATAATTCTTTTTTTTTTTTTTTATAAACGAGTTTTTGTTTACCTTTTTTTTTTTAATATAATTTTCTCTTTTTAATTGTAGTTACTACCGTGGATAGTGGACTCAGCGCACTGCAATTTCTTGGACTAGAGAACCAGGAAATGCGCAATGATTTTGTCGTAAGTATTAGAGAAAATTCAAATTCTATTTTAATTTCATTTTATCTGCTAATGAAAGCTTAATTTTTTGTTATAATGGTAATTTTCATAGCAAGTGGATCTAATTATCACGGATTATTGTATGCCCGGAATGAATGGTTATGAACTGCTCAAGAAAATTAAGGTTAGAAAATCTAAACAAACGTTAATTACTTCATTTTCTCGCATGTTTGTTTGTTGTAAAATAAGATTATGTGTTCTTCTATAAAACACATTCTGATTATAAAGTGTTAATTTGGATCAGGAATCGTCCACTTTCAGAGAAATTCCTGTGGTGATTATGTCCTCTGAAAACATTCTTCCGCGCATAGACAGGTATAGTTGGTTTTCTTCTTTTGATTCATATAACTCTTATATTTTTTATATCAACTTATTTAGGAGCGCTTAAAAGTTTTTTATTTTATTTTATAAAACTATTTTCTGAAACCTGAATTAAAAAATAATAATAATAATAATAATAATACTGAATGAAGATTATGAATTCTGAAAAAAGTGCAGTTGCTTGAAGGAAGGTGCAAAGGAATTCATAGTGAAGCCTGTGAAATTATCTGACGTGAAACGTTTGAGAAATTACATGACAACAGACAGAGCATGTGGCAGTGGCGGTGGAATCAACAAAAGGAAGCTTCCAGACATCTCTGATGTGTCTTCATTACCGCCGTCTGATTCCTCGTCGACAATTTCATCACCACCGTCACCTTCTTCTCCATCACCTTCATTGTCACCCTCCTCCGTGATTGACTCTCCAATCAGACGGCTCAAAATGACCAGCACTGATTGATCATCTGCAATTTCTTTTTTCCTATCATCATATCACTGTTTTTTTTGTTTTTGTTTGGTTTTTTTTCACATATGGGGTTCAAACTGCAATTACACTCCCGTTATTTGCAACGGTTTTTGTTGCACTACCCTGTTCATATCTTTTGCTAATTTATTTTGTTTGTTTATATGAAGGTGGGATTAATTAAAGTTATTGTCTCATTGAAAATGATTGACTGATTTACATCACTATTTTTTCCATTTTGGAAAAGGTAAAGATAAAGTAAAAGTTTAAGCTCTTTTGTAAGTGTTGGCTTGCATGAATGGGTAGTCAAAATTAAAGATTTGGGTTTGGAAAAATTTGAAGAGAGAAAGGGAGAAGGGAATAAAATAATAGTGGGTTGGAAGGGGGAGAAGTTCATGAATCAGCAATGAATTGAATTTGGGTTTGGAAATGATGTGATACGGATGGAATATAAGTTTGCAAGATCTTGTCTGCTATAAAGAATAACGAGAATGGGGATGTGAATTGAGTATGTTTGAAGGGTCCCCCTAAGGAAGAGGGTATGAAGGTGTAGTGGGGTCCATTAGAGGAATTTGTATTTGTCTTAGTTGTCCCTAATTGAGGAAGGTACCCTGCCATAAACCGTGTGCTATATCAGTAAACCCTGCATATGTTGAACAATAATATTTGGTCATTGCTGCCAGACGAGGGTGATCTAAAGAAAGTAGGGGAACACACACTTTTTTAGGTTGGTTCTTTTAATCTTTTTCCTATCTATTTTAACTGCTCATCCCTATTTCGCACCACTATGACTAACATAGGCTAGAATTACTTTTGTGATTTAGAGATGCAATGATTTCAAAACTGTAAAAAATTAGCACATTAAACATTCGAGAGAAAGAAGTTACCCAACCAAATGTGGCACGCATGAACAGTTTGTTTGTGTTACTGGCTCAACAACTTTTGTTATTAATTTTTTTCTTCTCTTCTCTAGTAACTCTCATACATTCGATTTGACGGAAGCATTGACATAAAGCCACTTTCGGTGCTTTGGACTTGTTTCAAAAGTGGTCGCCGGAGAAACAATAGTAACAGTGCAATTTCAATTGCACACGGAAGGAAAAGTAGGATAGACACATTTACGCATTTATATTCTTGGCCAATAAATAGAATCCATTTGGTGTTGTTTTAAGTATCCAACAAGTTTAGAAAGTATTCACTAGCATCACAACTTAGAAAGAAAAATACAAAGTGTCTATTGAGTGTTATTATGAGTAAAGTATATTCTCCTAATATAAGAAAGAGTGATATTGGTCTCTCCATGTATTTAGGAAGAGGTTGTAATTTCTTCCACTTAGTGAAAATCTTCACTGATCTTGCCCGAGGTTTTTTCCAATTAGGTTTTCTATGTAAATCTTGTGTGTCACTTCAATTGGTGCATTTGTTGCTCTCTTGACCGGTGGAATCAAGATAAAGTTAATTACACCCTTGTATCTAGAGAAGTGAGTGATTAATTAATTAGTCATTGTTAAATAGCACGGAGAGACTCCAATCGGATTTACATTTACCTAGCCAGTTAGTGTGGTTAATAGTGTCTTGAAATTTTAGTTTCTCTCAACTCTATTTTACCAACATGATATTCTGTTACCGAACAGTGGTATCAAAGCTGATTGGTTACTAGTTATTGTCCATATTGTGATGCTGTTCACGATTACGATTCACACGTGTGGTCGTATACTTTTACAATATTGTTAACGTATATTGAATTTATTATAGTATACGATACTATTTGTATGTACGATACTATTCACTTATATTGTACTGTTCACAGTGAAATAATGTAACAAAATATAATTAATATTTAGAGTATTGTCAACACCATGGTGACAAATTTTGAGATTAAGAAGTTAAATGAGAGTAATTTCTCCCCCTGGAAGCTGAATATGAAGGCAAATCCTAAGGAATGACAATTGTTTAGCTGCAGTTGAAGAAAGACCCACAAAAGTAACATAGGAAAAGTGGAAAGAAATGGATAACAACGTTGTTGCCAATCTGCAGCTAGCAATGGCGGATATGATCATGTCAAGTATTGCTGAAAAGAAGTTGGCAAGGAAAATTTAGGATGTGCTCACCAAATGATATGAGGTCAAATCTCTTCACTATAAGATATTCTTGAAAAGGAGACTCTATACTATTCGAATGAGTGAGTCCACAGCGGTAACATACCACATAAACAATTTGAATACGTCATGTTCTCAACTTATAGCATTAAATTACAACATAGCAGAAAGTGAACGTGCCGAGTTTCTACTCCAAAGACTACCTGACTCATATGATCAACTCAACATCAATATATCAAATAAAGGGTTATCAAACAACCTGTCATTCAATCATACTGATGTTGTAATTCTTGAAGAAGAATCCATGCGGAAGAATAAGGAGGACATAGTATGAAATTCAAAGCAAGCAGAGGCTCTGATAATGACGAGAGAAAGATCAATGGAATGTGGCTCAAGTGGGAGTTAAAATCAAAGTAGATCAAAGTCAAGAAAAAATAAAGAATATAAAATGCTATCAATGTGGAAAGAAAAAGCACTTCAAGAAAGACTGTTGGAATAATAAGAAGTGTGCAAAGAAGTATAATAAAACAAGCACTTCTCAAGGATGTGTTGCTAGTATCTTTGGTGAAGGATAAATCTTATACAATGAAGCAATAATAAGTTCTAAAGGCAAAAAACCATTCATTGATGTTTGTATAGTGGATTCGGGAGTAACATGACACATGACTCCACGATGAGACTGGTTTTGCACTTACGAACCTAACTTTGAAGGATTTGTGTTCATGAGGAATGATCATGCGCTAGAGATTATTGAAAGTGGTACTGTCAAGATAAAAATGTATGATGGTACTATTCATACAATTCAAGGGGTACTACATGTGAAGAACTTAAAGAAGAATCTAATGTCTATTGGATAATTAGATGACCTCGAATGTAAGACACATATTGAAGGAGAAATCTTGAAGGTTGTGAAAGGCGTTCTTATGGTGATGAAAGTAGGGTAGATTGCATAAACCCTCTACATGCTTATGGAAAATATATTGCAAGAAGCAAACACGATAGTAACTTCATTCAGTCAAGAAGAATTAACAACAATGTGGCATCTCAAACTAGGCTAAATGTCAGAATAAGGCTTGAAGATTCTTGCAGAACGTAATCTTCTTCCCGGGCTCAAGTTGGTAAACTTACCCTTTTATGAGCACTATGTTACAAGTAAGCAGAGTAGATTGAAATTTGCTACGTCAATTGCTAGAAGCAAACACATATTAGACTTGATTCTTTTTGATGTGTGGGAGTTACCAGAAATATCCCTAGGAGCAAAGTATTTTGTACATTGATGACTACTCCAGGAAATTATGGGTGTACCTAATCAAGGAAAGTCAGATGTGTTCTAAACCTACAAAGACCTCAAAGAAAAAATGGAACTTGAATGTGGAAAAATAATCAAGTGCTTGAGGATAAACAACGGAGGAGAATATACAGATGGTGAATTTCTTTCATTTTGCAAGTAAGAGGGTATTAAAAGACAATTCACAACTATGCATACCCCTTAGAAAAATGGTGTAATGGACCGAATGAACAAAACTCTTCTTGAAAGAACATGAGCTATGTTGAGAATTGCAGCTTTAGACAAGTCTTTATTTGTAGAAGCAGTCAAGACCGCTTGTTACGTGATAAACTAGTTTCCATCAACAACAATTAGATTAAAGACCCTGATGGAAATATGCCATAGTAAGCCACAAAATTATTCATCTCTACATGTGTTCAAATGTCCTACATATATGATTTACAATTGCCAAGAAAGAACCAACTTGGATCCAAAATCCAGGAAATGTATATTCTTGGACGATGCTGACAGTGTTAAGGGATATCGTCTATGGGATTCTATTGCCCGTAAGGTGGTAGTCAGCAGAGATATACTATTTGTAAAAAATGAACTGCAAAGAGATTAAGAAAATAACAGCACTTCTAAGGAGATTACTACTATTTAGATATATGAGAATAATGAAGAAGAAGATTCTTATGAAGCTGCACCAAAGCATGAGGAAAAAGAACCAAATGAGGCTGATGATACAAAAGTTTGACAATCAATGTGCAAAATAAGAGAACATTATGGCTGTTAGGCTATATTATGGCAAGCCATAATACATACTATCTTCTTATAGAAGAAAGAGAACTGTCAACTTTTCACGATTCCATGAATGATCTTGATGCTTCTTTTGGATGACAGTAATGAAAGAAGAAATGTAAGCTTTAAATAGAAAACTTGTGCCTCTTCCAAAAGATCGAAAAACTACTGGTAAGAAATAGGTCTATAAGATCAAATGAGATGGAAATGTTAAAGTGGAGTGATACCATCAAAGATTGGTGGTTAAAAGATATGCTCAAAAGGAAGATATTGATTTTAATGATATATTTTCTGCAGTTGTTAGACTTACCACTATCAGAGTAGTTCTCGCTATGTGTGCTGCATTCAGTTTACATCTTGACTAGCAAGATGTAAGGACTGCTTTTCTTCATGGACAACTTGAAGAAGAGATCTACATGCCCCAGCCAGAAAGATTTGAAGAAAAAAGAAAGAAAAATTCGTTTGCAAGTTGACCAAATCTCTATACAGTCTAAAGCTGGTGCCAAGATGTTGATACAAGAGATTTGATTACTTCATAATTTGCCTCAGATATATTAGACTTAGTTCAAACCATTTTACATATTACAAGAGGTTTGGTTAAAATGATTAATCATTTTGCTATTATATGTGGATGACATGTTGGTGGTATGCCGCAACAAAAAATCGAATCCAAGAATTCAAGGCACAATTGGCAAGGGAGTTTGATATAAAGGACTTAGGACCAACAAACAAGATTTTACGGATGCAAATTCATCAAGACATAAAAGATAGGAAGATTTGGTTTTCACAAAAGAATTATCTACATAAAATCTTGTTGCACTTCAACATACAAGATTGTAAGTCAATTTCTACCTCACTTCCTATCAATTACAAATTATCATCAAGTATGACTCCTAGCAATAAAGCGGAGGTGATGAAAATGTCTCGACTATCTTATGCATTAGGGTGGGAAGCCTA